TTAAACAGATATGAAAATTAGCCATGTAATCTTATAATTATATTCATAAGCAAATAATTAACAAAAATATACTAATATTAGAAATAGATTTATGCATTTTACAATATTTGTTTATTTTATAGACATAATTTTATATTTATATTTTTAACATTTATTATCGTGCCTGATACATTAAATATTTGCCCATCAAACATATAATATCAGGAATTAAAAAAATAAATAAAAATAAAAGCAAAAATATTAGAAATATAGTTTGAATAAAATTCAAATGAAAACTTATAGCAAATAGTTTCAAACCAAAGCATAGGTTAAGTTTTTGGTTGAATTTTGAGTGGAGGGCTCATCACTACGGGTGAACGGGTTGTTCACACCATTTGAGTAGACGATCCGCACTGGAAGCCCCTTACGATTTTCCTTGCAATCCATTGCCAGTGAATAGGCCAGACATGCCAGACACAGGTTATACACAAGTGAACCGATATATCGCGGGTTCACAAACACCTCTCCCAACGATAGTATGGATAGAAAACACGTTATAACACAGTATGTCATACATAGACAATAGCTTTCCCTATAGGCGCCCATTAGGCCAGTCGACTCGATTGCCATTGCGATGCTGAAAATGACCACGCCCACCCAGATGGCCTACAAATGTATAAAATCACCAAGATATCATGATAATCTCGATTGAGTTTAGCTAATTAATTACCCAGTCTCCATCAGTCGTCTTATCATAGGAATAATCAGGGTAATTTTTCTTACCTGATTAGGCTGATTATAATGTGAAACGAGTAATATAATAATGACCAGCAAGATCAGCAATATAGTTACGAGATTTATGGTAAATAGAGTCCACTTTTTACACTTAAAATTTGGACTCATTTTTGATGTTATTTTGTCTCACAATGTATTTAAATGAATGCTTCACTGAATAAGAAATACTGTAAGACTTTAAACACTTTACAGATTTTAAACATTACTTAAAATATGTATACAATTCTAATATTAGTTTCAAAAGTGTTTATAAATATTTACATTTGTCTACAGAATTCAATTCCTAAGAATATGTTATACAAACAAATTCTTTATTAATATACACTACTTGAATACATTACAGAATCTTGTTTATAAAAAAATTAAATTATGTTTTATTTTAGGAATAGTTTAAACACTTTTTTATAACGTATTAAATTTTTAAAAATATTAGTTAGAGCATTATACATTAGTTATAATTAATATTTAGCATATTACAACAAATATTTATTTTAATATTTACCATTTTAGTCACTAAATTGTAGCAATTTCATAGCTTTTGAAAACCAACTATAATTTCATTGTGTGCTAAAATAAG